GTAACATCATAACTGCGCCGCAATGTGAGGTTCAAAGTGTGTAAAATAAATATTATACTAAACAGCGAAATGTGCTACTAAACAGCGAAATTGTACTAAAAGCGGAATGTTGCACATACACTGCCGCAATGTATCGAAGTGTAAAGAAATATTATACTAAAGCGCGAATGTGCTACTAACAGCGAATGTGGTACTAAACAGGGAATGTGTGCAGAATAGGTAAGAAATGTGGCGCAATGATGGCAGTCATAACTGCGCAAGATGTATCAAATGTGTAAAAATCTTATACTAACAGCCGAATGTGCTTTAAACAGTGAAATGTGCTACAAAACGCGCAATGGCTTCAATAACTGCCGGCATGTATCAAATGGTGTAAATTTGATACTAAACAGCGAAATGTGGTATCTAAAAGCGGAATGTGCATCAATAAACTGCCGCAATGTATCAAAATGTGTAAATAATATTATACTAAACAGCTGAATGCGATACTAAAAGCGGATGTGCCATCAATAACTGTCCGCATGTATCAAAATTGTAAGAAAGTATACTAACATCGGAATGTGTAATAAACACGCGAATTGATATTAACAGCGGAGATGTACGCGATGATGGGTAGAGGTGGCAATTGCACCAATACTGCGCATGTATCAATGTGTAAAAAGGTTTCTACTAAACAGCGGATGTGAGGGAATGGTGAAGAAATGTGTGCTGTGTGCACGTTATTATGTGCGTGGTGCAGTCGTACACGTATCGGTGCGTGCGTGGTTTAGTAACGTGGGTGTGTGCAGGTCAGTGAGTGCGTGCTGTGCAGAGCGTGCGTATGCCACTATACGTGGCGGCGTGCGTGTGCACGTAACCTGCGTGCATGCGTGCGTGCGTGTGTGCGTGCGTGCGTGCGGCGTTTGGATGGAACGTGGCGGTGCGTATTGCATATGCACGTACACATGCGTGCATGGTTGGTGGTGTGCACGTCGAGTGCGTGGTGGCGTAGTGTGGCACGTACACGTGCGTGCATGGTGTGGGCGTGCATGTGCACGTACACGTGCGTGGGTAGCGAGCCTGCGTGACCCGTCGTGTGTGTAAAAATGTATAAAAATGTTGATTAACAGGGATGCTGCTATCTAACGGAAAGGTTGCTACTAACAGCGGAATGGCGCGGAATGGGTAGAATGTGGCGCAATGTGCATATAACTGCCGCAATGTATCAAAATGTGTAAAACCATATTATTATAAACACGGATATGTGTACTAAAACAGCGAAATGTGCCCGCGGAATGGGTAGAATGTGGCGCAATGTTGCTCAATAACTGCCGCATGTATCAAATGTGAAAAATAGTTTTACTAAACGCGAGATGTGCTATAACAGCGAAATGTGGGACTAACAGCGGAATTGGTACTAAAGCAGAGAAATGGTCACCTAAACGCGGAATGTGCGCGGAAGATGGTAGAATGTGGCGCGAGATGTGTGCAGATCAATAACTGCCGCATGTAATCAAAAATGTGGTAAAAAAGATTATACTAACAGGCGAAATGGTGCTCTAAACAGCCGAAATGTGCTACTAACTGGCGAAATGTGTACTAAGACTGGCGGAATGTGCGCGGAATGTAGTAGAATACCTCTAACGCCGAAGATGAGCGCGAAATGATCAATCATCATACATAATTAAATTAAATTAGTTTGTATTAAATTAAGGTTAATTGTTATAATGATCTGAAATGAAAGAATGCTTAATTATTTTAATTAATTATTAAATGACGCGATATGTGTGAAAATGACCGACCTATGAGGGTCTCTCCCCCCCCCTTCTCATCTCTCTCTCTCATCTTCCCTTATCATTGTTCTCTCTCTAATCTCTCTCTCGCCGCTCTCTCTTTGATCATCTCTCTCTCTCTCTCTCTCTCTCTCTCTCTCTCCTCTCTCTATTACGTCTCTCTCTCTCTCTCTCTCTTCTCTCTCTCTCTCTCTCTCTCTCTTCTCTTTCTCTCTGTACTTTTTTCATCCTAGTCCCTATCTCTTCTTTCTACTCTCTCTCTTCTCTCTCGTCTCTCTCTCTTTATGTACTGACTGGTATATGCAGCCGAGACCTTACATGCAAGGTCTGCTTCCTATTTCATAAGTGAGGTCTACTGATGGAATATTATCATGGAAATCTATGTTGGGATAATCCCTCTTTATTTTAAATTCGTAATTTTGGCAAAATATTTTTCTTCTTGGGAGATATTGCGCATTCGCGAGCACTGTTTCAAAGGTGCAGTACGACCTAAATTAAAGTACGTAATATAGCTCGCTGTGGGAGAGAAGGATGGGAAACCAAGGGAAGGTGGCAGGGAAGACAGCCGAGGGGCGGTGGGAGAAAAAGGAGGCTGAGCGTGCGACAAGGGAGACAAGGGGAAGGGCGGGCGGGGATGAAGTAGTAGTTTTGCACCCTACTGGCTAGGGCGCTCTCCTAATTATAAACACAGGTCTACTGATAATAATTTATTACAGAAGCCTATGCTGAGATACCCCCTTACCATATTAAATGCATTTTCAACACAAAATATAATTATTCCGGTGATATATTGCGCATACGCAATTAACTTGTTGTACAGTTTTAGCTATCCCCCGTTCAGCCAGTTTTTCAACAATTTTTTGGTAGGCTAGACGACATCTCGAGGGTCTTGTTAACTGCGCCTTTATAAAATCCGATTTCCAAATCTCGAGAAGAGCGACAGTGTCTTTGTGATACCACAGTCGATCAACCCCTTCTGCTGCTTTTTTGGGCATTTTGACGGATATTTTAACTCAATGAAAATACTGAAAAACGCGCGTGTGTAGAAACTGAGAAATGCGGCAGTAAAGCGGAAGTTGACACTGACGATATCATTCTACCACCGTAATAATTTTGTCGCGTGTCGTGTGTCGGTGCACGTTCACACGGTAAAAAATGAACCAGCGCTGGGTCCCGGATCACTTTTGTACAGTGAAAAAATTAAACGCTTGGCCCGGGTCAAATTTAGCCCGGATAATTTTTCGACCCGGGAGAAATTGCTCCGTCTGAACGCGGCTCGTCGTTATCCGCCGTAATAGACGCCGTCGCTCGTTAGTTGATAGGCGACAGTTAACAAGCATTGTCGGATATCAGGTCTGTAGGCGTCTGGCTTAGTGCGTGTATTTGCTCAATTACTGTGACTTTTGTATAATTCTGCGTTTAATCGGTTGCGTGTACGGCCGATCAATTTTATGTTGCTGAATGTGTGCTGAATGCTGAATGTGAATGTGAATGTGAATGTGAATGTGAATGTGAATGTGAATGCTGATTGCTGAATGTGAATGTGAATGAGAATGATTACGATTATAATATATCGGTATTGCTTTTGATGTTTTGATTTGCATTACTAACCGGCAATCCAGTTCAACGTAATAGACGGCTGCTATTAAATTAATTCATCATCAGGCTATGTAAAAATTGCATAAATTTAGTGGCATTACAATTGCAATCTGAATCAGTAATTTTCCATTTTGAAGTATGGTTCTATTTGAATTGAGACAGAGCTAACAACAGAATCTGCAATACAGTATAATACAATAAAATGTAATGTAAATGTCTGTGTACACGCATGCGCGCGTGTGTGTAATATTTTTTTTAAACATTTTTAGTTAAGTGTCATTAATAATTTATTTATTTGGGATAAAAGTCAATATAATCATATCATCATATCATCTCTTTCTCTCTCGCTCTCTCCAGAGACTCTCTCTCTCTCTCTCTCTCTCTCGGTTCCATCTCTCCTCCCTCCTCTTCTCTCCTCTCATCTTCTCCTCTAGTCCCGAGACTGATCCTGGTCTCTCTACTGTCTTCTGCTCTCTCTCTCTCTCTCTCGGCTAATCTCCCTCTCTTTAATAATATATATATATATATATATATATATAATCTTTCATGTATTAATCAAAGTTTGTTTTCATACGAATGGGATTTGACTGATGAAATAAGAACTATTATAATTGATAGAATAGGCTGCGACGAGCTAGCAGGTGACTCGTGACGTCACATGCAAAACTATTATATCGTGTATATTTATCTTTTCCTCTTGCTGTATATAAATATATATATATATATATGTATATATTTATATATTCTCTCAAGTATTTATCAAAGTTTGGTTCCATGCTAATGCGAATAATAGAATAAGTCGTATTTCCTAATTTTTTCATTTGAAATGTCATCGGGCACACACCGGCAGAGTTCATTTTTTGGGAGTGGTTGGAAGATGGCGGCAGTGGCGCAGTGTGGCGTCTCTTTCTTGTCTACCGTAGATAGGCTAAGCGCTATCCAGTTAGTATAGAGATATATATATAGAAAGCAGTAGTCCGCTCTTGATATTGTTAGCGTATGAATATATCAGCGGTGAATAATGACAGATCATGAAACTGTATCCGTCCTGATTCACCCCCCGATGATGAGTACATATGTGTATACCCTTTATTACTTTAGTGTCTAACCCTCATAATAACGAACCATTGAGATTTCAAACTACTCATGTCAAATACGCCGTCTATACAGCTGTCACTATTTTCCTCATATAATTTACGATTTTATGACGATTATAGTGATAGCAATGCGCTTCGTAATAGCTGCTTGCAGAAAATGCTGCAAGATTTTATGGCCAATGGGGTGGCATAACCGCTTTGCAATCGCGTCAACCTACCCCACCGATAGCGTGTAAAAATAATTTTTTTTTTACTTGCCCCGTAAATACAGTGATTATAAAATAGTTTTTTTCCATGAATAAATAAGTCGCCGCTCCTAACACCGTTTTTGTCTGCAGTCGTAAATTTGTACGAGCGTTGTCGCTGCTTGTCTCAGCCACAACTCGAGATAAGCAGCTAGCATTATGGCAAAAGAGCCTACTACATGAAGCAACATAAATCCAGTCGCGCCCCATGTTGGTGAGGTAGCAGTGTCGAACCAGGCGCGCATTCCTGTATAAAAACAGCTGGTCATCAAGAAACCAGGACAGCAGGTAGACGCAGCGAACACGCAAAACCAACCGAAGGAAACGAATGAACACAGGCAATCCCATTAAATCTCGTCAGAGCAAGTAAGTGCGCTGGTACGCTTGTTCGATGCCCGGACTCACAGGGCTATACACTGTCTTTTGAAAAATATGTTTAATTGTCAAGCCATGTATCAGGCCATCGATGTACGAATCAATGAAACATTTAATTAATGTGTTATACGTATGAATATAATATGATTTCAGCAGATACCCTATTCAAATCCCGTGCTGTTTTTATGTCAAACAGAACCTGACTTTTGACGACGACAGGAACGCCAACAAAATGGAGACGCCGACGGCGACAACGTTCTCCTACATTGACTACATCGTATTCGCGCTGTCGCTCTTGCTGTCGGCTGCTATCGGCGTCTACCACGGATGCGTCGGCTCTAAGCAGACGACGACAGACGAGTTCCTGATGGGCGGCAAGAACATGGGAGTCATACCGGTCGCGCTGTCCATGGTCGCCAGCTTTCTGTCGGCCATCTCACTGCTCGGCCAGCCTGCTGAGATGTATTACTACGGCACACAGTATTGCTTGTGGACGTTATGTGTCATCATTGCCTTCCCGGTGGCAGCAAACATCTTCATTCCTATCTTCCATGAGTTGGAATTGACGAGCGCTTACGAGGTGCGCAAGTTGTTATGACATTGTTCTAATCAAATAGCGGAAGTTAATACTCCGAACAGACTGCAAAATGTGATCCTACGTCAAACTAGTTCGGGCCAAACCCGAGCCAGGCGCGCGCTAAATCGCAGCGTACATAATTACACAACCGGGCTCAACCGGGCTAAGTTAGCACGGCTTGACTGCGCATGTTCAGTTTAGCTTGTTACGTCACTTAGCAGACAGCAATGACAACAGTACCCCTGATAGAATAATTAGGATTTATACTGCATTATTGTAATAGCAGAAGAAGAGAAAGGATATTAACAGGTTATTTAATAGGCAGCAGAAGTTGCAACCGGCGTATAATCGAATCTGTGTATCAGATTATAATTCAATTGAGCCATTTTATCAGCAATGAAAGTGCAAACATGCACATCCCTACGACTGCCTTACCATACATTCTGGATAGATTCTTCTTAAGTTGTAATTAGGTTCTAGTGAAGCGAAAATCAAAAACAAAATTTGCAGACACAACTTCACACGCTACTATGTTTTTCTGTGATCCACATAAGGCTATGCGCATGCGTATACGGTAATTTAGCTTGCGCCTGGCCCCAGATTGAGCAAACACACAACTCAGCGCGGGCTAACTTAGTACGGGATAGCTTAGAACGCTTCGCAGCGGCCACTTCCATTCGCGATCGAAGCTAATTTAGACCGGACTAGCGTGTATTTAGCCCGGTATAGAGTGTACACACTGCAAACATTTAGCGCGCGCCTAACCCGGACTAGTTTGATGTAGGATCAAATTTGCAGTTTGTACCGGGTATAAATAACGAGTTGATTAACACCAACATATGAAATCACTTTCCTCTCCTTCATTGCCGACATTTGCATTCTCTCTCTCTCTCTCTCTCTCTCTCTCTCTCTCTCTCTCTCTCTCTCTCTCTCTGTATGTGTGTGCACGCGCGCGTGTGTCTTTGTCTTTCTCTGTGTGTCTCTCTCTTTTTTTTTTTCTATTCCTCATTTGCTTTCTCTCTCTCTCTCTCTCTCTCTCTGTCTCTTTCTCTCTTACCCCTTTCTCTCTCTCTCTCTCTCTCTCTCTCTCTCTCTCTCTCTCTCTCTCTCTCTCTCTCTCTCTCTC